CACTTTCCACAACAAAACGGGACAGGGTTTCTAGTCCTGTCATGCTGGCCTCACGCACCCTGCAACATAACAAAGACATACAAATGAGTATATTTGGACTGCGGAGAAAGATATGAAGACATGATTGATCATCGCAGTTATCCACACAACTTAAGCAACTTAATTTCACAGCTGCGTAAGTTGTGTGCATAACTGCGATGATCAATTCGTGTAAACATGACCCGCCTAGATTAGCTCAGCTATCCGCGGGCATGTTATAATTGTAATTTTAATTTGATAACAAAAATAAAATGTATGTATATCAATCATGTCTTCATATCTTTCTCCGCAGTTCAAATATATGGTCTTTCATATATTCATTTGTATTCTTCACCATCTACGGGTACATTACGAACTCACAAAGCGACCAGCTCCCAGGCGGCTTGATAGCTCAGTTGGTAGAGCAATACACCAGTATCGCAGAGGTCATGGGTTCGAATCCCGTTCAGGCCTGAATTTTTTCATGCTTTAATTTCACAGCTGCTTAAAGTGTGTGCATAACTGCGATGATAACTCATGTCTTCATAATAAGACATGCCAATCGCTAAAAATAACATACAACTCCTTTTACTTGGAGCTGTTTTCCACTCCATACATTATTTCAGGGCTGGTAAGGACGTTAAAATTGCGGACCAAAATTTCCACTTTTCTGAAACAAAGAAAAGTAAATTTACGCCTTCAAAAGACGAATTAGACTGAGACAACACAGTCAAGGTTTTAGGCATACACCGACGAGAAAATAAGAAAAATTCTTATCAAGCTGTTACATATCTCAAGCAGTGTTCGCTCCATAAAGGAATCTGAGAGCTTTGGAGCAACTTATCTATAAAATGTTGAAAATGACTTACCAGGCTCCGACATCTCCTCTGCTATCGATTGTGTAGTCATTCATGGCCGCGATAAAAGCATCGTAAAGCTGTTGTAGACTTCGTTCCGTTACAACTCGTTCTTCGTCACCAGTTCTACTCAACCCAACGGAGCAGGCGATGCTGGAACAAAAACAGGTCGAGAGTATTTTAAAAAATGTCGAGTTTCTCCAATGATTTTCACAACATGAAGTGTAAAAAAGGCAAGGGAAATAATGTACGCTAAGTATGTCAATAGAAATTAGGGATGTGTTTGTTTGCAAGGTCAGTTGTTTACTCCATAGGTTGTCTGACATTAGCCCCAGAATCCGTGTAGGTGTAAAAACAACCATATATTGTCCCTGATTGGTTGATACTTGCGCGCGAAAATCTAGAGGAAACCGGCAGCCAATCAGAGACACTACAAGGATCACCGCGTAGCTTACGTAACCAACATGACGCTATTCAGTTCCGTATCTAAGCGACGCTAATTACACACGCGATCCATTTTTACCAAAATTGAGCGTGACCATCTCTTATACAATGCCTGAGTATACACTAGCGACGAATTATCCGTCTGAGACGGGTAATTTGCTTGCCTAAAACAGATACATGTGAGTAAATTTTTATTAGGAGATAAATATCTCCTAATATAAATTCGGCGTCAGACAATTCGTGTCTTGTACAAATTAGGCCAATTTTAATTACCTAGCAAGAGATTTTAGCGCGTCTCTTCGAGATTCAGCATATTTTCCTGGGTCATTAGACAACTCTGAAGCCGAGATTAAACCAGAAATGACCTGCAAGATAGCAAGAACGATGCTGAAAGTTAAGACGATTGATACAAAATAACGGTTGTATAACATAACCTATGTGGGAGGCGCGGTCAACTCCGGAGAGAGCGGTCCTGGTTCAAGCCCTGGCCTGGGACATTGTGTTGTGTTCTTGGGCAAGATACTTTCCTTTCACAGT